CTACCGTTTGCTAAACAGGAAGAGGTGCGAACACTGTTAAAAGATATGGAAGAAGGCGATGTCATCGAGCCTTCAGCTAGTCCATGGGCATCTTCCATCGTTCTCGTCAGAAAGAAAAACGGCTCAACAAGATTTTGCGTTGACTATCGCCGGTTGAATGAGGTTACAAAGAAAGACAGTTACCCTCTTCCTAGAATTGATGACATTCTAGACACTCTTTCTGGAAGCAAGTGGTTCTCAACACTTGATTTAAAGAGTGGGTCTTGGTAGGTAGAAATTCATCCTGATGACCGAGAAAAGACGGCATTTACAACGGGACAAGGACTTTGGCAGTTCAAAGTGATGCCGTTTGGACTGTGTAATGCGCCGGCAACATTCGAACGTCTTATTGAGACTGTTTTGAAAGGCCTTTCCTACGAAGCCTGCCTGATATACCTGGACGACGTCATCATCGTCGGAAAGAGTTTTGAAGAACATTTAAAAATTCTTCGGAAGGTGCTTCAGAAACTGAAAGAAGCCAATCTGAAGCTGAGTCCCGCTAAATGCAAATTGTTCCGAAAGGAAGACATGTCATCTCTGCAGAAGGTGTACGCACGGATCCTGAAAAGGTATCAGCGGTTAAGTCCTGGAAACGTCCCGAAAATGTCCATCAGCTGAGAAGCTTCCTAGGGCTTTGCACCTAATATAGGAGATTCGTGAAGGACTTTTCTTCCATCGCAAGACCCCTTCACAAGCTGACAGAGAGCAAGCAAACGTTCTTGTGGACAAAAGAAAGCGAGGATGCATTTAACAACTAAGGAAGCTTTAACATCTGCTCCAATCCTGACTTATCCTCAGCTCGACAGACCATTTATTCTCGACACAGACGCGAGCAATGAAAGTGTCGTTGCGGTTTTGTCCCAAGAAATAGACGGCCAAGAACGTGTAGTGGCGTACTGGAGCAAATGCCTGTCTAAACCGGAGAGGAATTACTATGTCACTAGGAAAGAGTTGCTCGCCATAGTCAAAGCTCTAGAACATTTTTCATCATTATCTATACGGCAAAAAATTCCTCCTCCGCACGGACCATGCCTCATTGGCCTGGCTTTTAAATTTCAAGAATCCTGAGGGTCAAATAGCCAGGTGGATACAGAGACTCCAAGAATATGACATCACTATCCGTCATCGTAAGGGATCATCACACGGGAACGCCGACGCCCTGTCTAGAAGACCTTGTCCAGAATGCTGCCGATATTGTTCCAGGGTGAAGCGAAATACGAGCTGCTGACTCTGGTCGCAAGACAAATTATAACATCAACATCGGCTGATCGAGACCCGTGGAGTGATGATGAAGTCAGGAATGACCAGCTGAAAGACTGCGACATTTAACCCATAATTGATTTAATGCAGTCATCAAACAGAAAACCTACATGGCAGGACATTTCTATCTGTAGTCCTACAACAAAACAATACTGGGCACTCTGGGATTCACTTCACATTCGAAACGGCGTCTTATACCGGAAGTTCGAATCGGATGATGGGAAGACGTTCCGATGGCAACTTATACTTCCAAGATCCCGCATTCCTGATGTCCTTTAAGAATTACATAGCAGCCCTACAGGAGGTCACTTTGGAATAATGAAGACCTTGCAGAGAGTTCGTGAGCGCTTTTACTGGAATAATGCAAAGGATGATGTGCAAAAGTTTTGCCGATCTTGCGATGCCTGTGCAGGTCGGAAAGGACCGAGGAGACGCAGCCGAGGCAAGCTGCTACGTTACAACGTAGGGGCGCCTTTTGAACGTTTTGGCTTTGACATCCTGGGACCTCTGCCACGAACTGCTGATGGCAACAAATACATACTCGTTGTCATTGATTACTTCACCAAGTGGCCTGAAGCTTATCCTATTCTTAATGAAGAGGCTGTCACAATAGCTGAGGTGATGGTACAGCACTGGATTTCCAGGTTCGGAGTGCCTCTTCAGTTACATTCCGATCAGGGAAGGAATTTAGCCTCGGCAGTAATCAAAGAACTATGCAAACTACTCGGCATTGACAAAAGTCAAACGACGCCATTGCATCCCCAGTCGGACGACATGGTAGAGAGGTTCAATCGAACCATCCTTAATAACCTCTCATTAGTGGTTTCCAGAAACCAACAGGACTGGGACAAGAAATTACCACTCTTTTTACTGGCTTACCGCAGTGCTGTCCACGAGACTACCGGCTAGTTCTCCATCCCAGATGCTCTTCATTCGTGAACCTTCGTCTGCCTTGTGATCTATTTGTTGGCGGTCACCTTCCGGATGCTCCTTCATCGGTCTGAGGAATAAATATATTCAAGATCTCCAGGCCCGGTTTGAAGTGATGCACAACTTTCCACGAGAGCGAGTCAACTTAGCGACGGAGAAGACGAAGACTCGATACGACACCAGAGCTACTGGACATCGATTCCACGAAGAGACAAGGTGTGGTTGTGGAATCCGACTCGACGGAAAGGACTTCTATCCGAAACTACAGTCACCTTGGGATGGTCCGTATAATACGGTCCTAAACAGGCTTGAATGACGTGGTGGTTCGGATCCGTAAGTTCTTCGAACTCTAAAGCCTTAAAGTTGTTCATTACGACAGGTTAGCTCATTACTATGGCCATAGTAACGTAATGTAACATAATTGTAAATAGTGTAAGACCATGGATCCTTTTTGTTTCTTAAATGTGTATTTAATATTTGATTTGTATTTTGTACTTGATTTGTATTTGATAGCATTTGATTTCTTTTATTTATTGCATTTATTGTTCGTGTTGTTTATTATTGTAATGTAATGCTTAGTATTGTACTTATGCCTTAGTTGTAAGTTTGGCTTCCTGTCCAGGGATTGTACTGCCCGGGACGTGCAGTCCTTGGAAAGGGAGCAGCGTTACGAATTTCGTATTTAGAAAGCTAATGTTAGTTCAATTATAAATTAAATGGTTTTATTTCTCGCGCAGTGCAGCGTGTGACGAATATTAAAAGAAAGCTAAGCCGGAAAATTGAAAATACAAGAGCGCGTGCATTAAATAAATAAATATCTCTTTTTGATTTCGAGAAAGTACTAGGAAATTCTAGCGCGTGATTTTAAAATCTTATAAAAGGAGGAAAACATCTCAGTTCGTAGTAGTTTAGTTTAGTTTGTTGTTGTTTAGAAAACTGCTCTTGTTGATTGTAGCGAATTCGCGGATTAGCTTTCTTTAGCTGTTTTGAATTACGTTCTATTGGACATTTGAGTAGTTAAAAGATAACTACTGTGAGATATTGTAATACTGCATGATAATTTGAGAAAATTTAAGCATTTTTGTTGTGATAATAATAAATTTTTGTTCATTTTTCATCGTACTTGTGCATTAATTTCATAACTAACTCGTACGCACGCAACAATATTATAACTCAGAATGCACAAAATTTATATCATTTAAAGAATTAGCTAATCGTTGCCACATGTTCTATTCAAATACTATAATAAAGCTAGAACGATGTATAAAAGAAATTAGGCAAACAAAACAAAAAAGAAACAGTTTTCCACAGACGATTGAGTATTTCTCATTCAATTAATTCAGTTCTCACTTCGCGACAAGGCAAAAATACAAAATATCTGTATTAAAAAATTATGAAGTAAATCTTAAACACTTATTGCCTCGAAAAAATTCCAGAAAGGATTAAGCATGATTTAATTCGCAATAATAAATGAAGGCGTTATCTTTGTTGTTGCGAAGCTAAGTTTCTCTAGCTTGGCAACAAATCCACTATTGTACTGTTTCAAATGTAAACAAGCAATGGCTGCCATTAAAAACAGTATTAGGCTTAACGGCACTTAAACAACTTTAAAATTGTTGATAATTCTAAAAATATTGCATACAGATTTACTAAAAGCATAAAAACCTTAACCGGAAGATAAGAACAACATAATTAAATCATTTTTAAAGCAAAAAATTTACAATTTACAAACATATAAGAGTAAAGAAACTGAGATCACTGAGCCGGGTAACAGAGTGGATATATATATATAAATATATTTATATATTTTGCTGCGGCCAATTGCAACCAAAATACGAGGTGCACATCTACATGTTATAGTAGTCCTATATACAAAATTTCAACGCTCAGAGGCTACTCGTTTTTGAGTTATGCGAAATACGTACGTACGTACGTAGATATGTTCGTACAGACGCCACGAAAAATTCTCTTTAGAATTCATTTTAAAGCAGTTTTATAATTTTTTTGGAGGAAAAGAGTCTTTTATTCTGTTCTTACGTACAGATACCACGCAAAAACATCGTTAAATTGTATTCGGTAGAGGTCAAAATGGATAATTTCGTTGAAATATGCTGCCTGAAACTTTTCGCGATTACAATACTTCCTTTTTACTTTGTACGAGGAAGTAAAAAATACTGCAATATTACGAATAATTTCACTAAAATTATTTACGCATGAGCTAACTTCGTAACAATGCATATTTACTCATAAGCGAAACAGCAAGTGCAAAGATGCAGTAGTCATGTTTTTTTTAAAAAAAAAAACGCGTCTCGTAATTATTACTTATAGCCCGTAGATTAGTTGAAATTTTAATTTTTGCCTACATATTTGTTAAAAGTTTTGTTTGTGGAGTAGCAAAGATTGTATATTGCTACTGAAGAAATTTTATTTGTCTCTGTGTATTTCGAAAATTATAATTAATTTTACTTCGAATCTACAAAGAGGATTGCTCATTAGGAAACAGTGGTAAAGCTTAACCCCTTTTAAGTCATAAAACTTTCATCTAAAAGTGTTTGAAATATTTTAAACAATTGTGTTCTGGTATTGGTTTTATTTTCGTACAAAGAATTTAAACAATTATGTTCTGGTATTGGTTTTATTTTCGTACAAAGAATTTAAACAATTATGTTCTGGTATTGGTTTTATTTTCGTATGCCATTAAATTATGGAAAACCTTGGAAATAAGTTTTAAAACAACTAATATTTCTGCGTCGTTTCCATTGCAGTGATGCCATCGATGCCTGGAATGTCTGGAAACAAGCCTTATTTTGTGAAAGGCTTAGAGCCGTTGAAAGTATCAGAAGGAGGAACCATACATCTAGAAGCTACACTACCTTCAGAATCTGGATGCGCTATTAGATGGTAAAAGTTCTCATAATTAAATTATTTACTTATTACTTAAAGCTGCTCAAAACACTTTGCTATGAGTTTCTCAATTTATAATGAATTCCATAAAATGAATTTCCTTGAAAGATAACAATGATACAAATTTTGAAGTGTCATAAATTTAAAAATAATCATAAGTTATTAACTAAAATAATCCGCTAAGAGCGAATGCTTAAGATACTGCAGCAACAGAAATCAACGTAAGTTTCGAAATCTTGCAGGACTAGTTTAAGGGGAATTAGAATCTTCTTCTTCAGCTGCAGGCATGAAAATGGCAAATTTGAAGCATGTGCTCATGGGATAGCAAATAAACAAAAACACCTGAGGAAATTCCATCTAAGGAAGAGAAAATAACTGAGCCATCTATTGACGAAATATGAAAACAAATACGATATAATTCCTTTAAAACCTGAAAGTGAAGACGGATTAGAACTGAAGATATTAACTAGAACTGAAAGATTTCTGTGAAATTTCGCACCAAGGAGCTTAGAAGTATGACAAACAAAGAGGATTAAAAGCAAATCCAAAATTATCCTACAAATCTGCTTCCAAAAATATACCTAATATCTCTACAATGTATTGGTAATGAACTGTGTTAAACTTGAGGTTGAATCGAAAACATTAAATTTTAAATTTTCCTTTCTCTTTAATTAGGATGAAAGATGGCGACGACATCACGAAAAGTGATCGCACACAGATCTTGGAGCAGCCCAATGGTGCCATTGCTTTAATCATTGAAGCTGCAACACCTGAGGATTCTGGGAAATATGTAGTCGTTGCCACTAATGACGAAGGAAAAACTAGAAGTTCGGCCATGGTGGCAGTAGTAGGTAAGAAATATATATAGTTGCTTAAAAATTTTTTAGGTGACTCGAAATTTCAGCAATAAAATTTCCAACGAAACTAGAATAACATGAAAAAATTTATCATTTTAATTTAATAATTCTTTAATTTATTTGAAAATATAAATCTCGCTTTATGCAAAATATATGTCCATTATTTACAGGAGCCGGATTTAAGTTACCCGAGATCGTTGATGCTTTAAATCCAGCTTCCTTCACAGAAGGAGAGCCCGGTATTTTAAAAGCGAAAGTGGATGGTGAACCAAAGCCTGAAGTCAAATGGTATGTTATCATCATTATTACATAAAGAAGCTCATCTGGATGTAAGATGCGTAATAATACAGCAATCAGAAATGGAAATCAGACTCAGCAATAATTTCAAAAAATTCCAACTTTATGTCGGTATTTATTGCATATCTTTCCGCTCGTCATGCCCACTTTTTTTTTTTCTAATCTTCGAAGCATATTTTAAAGCTGTTTTCGGAAAACTCCTTGAAATCCAGCAGCGAATTTTCTTTTAATTGTGTTAACAGACTCAAAAACGGTGGCACAAGCAGCAATTTTAAACGTGAAAATAAGAAAAAGTACGCAGCGCTGTATCAGGTGATGAGGAGGCGTACAAAAGCTGTTCGTATATTTTTTAGATGACCTTGCTATTAAAAAAAATAACTTTTTAGAAAACACATTTAACTGCAGCTATATTTTTGGAAGTGTAAAACTGAGGTTTTCATGCAAAATACCTCTTTTAAATATGCAATGGACGGAAGGTTATGGTTATGCTCTTTCCGAAGAAAATTATTCTAACATAATTATTAAAAAATGCTACAAAAGCCATGAATTTTCGGTATTTAAAACTGCGATAAGTAACATTGACAATAAGAAAAGATAAAAGCGTCAATGTTTGGCTGCAAGGTAAAAAGTGGGCAAAAGACATATCCAAGGAAAAAACGGGATGATTCGAATGTTGCTAGGGTAAGAAATTTAATGCTAAAAGAAAATCTTCGAAGTCAAAGGATACTTGAAAGATCTTTAAACTGCCCAGTGGCAACTGTTAATAAAGTGATTAATGCTGATTTGAATCTTAAAAAAGCGAAAAAGCATAATTTACATTGTCTTTCTCTACTATATACCGCCCAAAGCAGAATTGTTTACGAGAAACAATTATTCGGGCAAGAATGGAAATGGAAAACTGTTGTCACAATAGATGAATATAACACAACAGATATTTCTAAATGTGTACAAAAATACGTATAAAACATTGACATCTATTTAAGAAAACTTTTGGAGTAACATAAAAAGTCTTATCATATTATGTTAGTTCACAAATTTCTATTTGAACCTCAAACACAGACTACAAATTTGTATGAATTCGGATTAAATATAAATAAAATGCTCATTATTCTGTAAGCAATCTTTTACAATTATACATACCGTATATTCCGGCGCATAACGCGAACCTGTCATTTCAAACTACATTTTTAAACTTTTTAAGTATATTCACCGTATAACGCGCGCCCTTTTCGTTACGAAGAAACCTGTAAGATACATGTGCGATGCTGTTATCTTCTGAAGTCGTTCATTCGATGATTTTTCGCAGGCTTTCGAACAATAGTAATTGAATTGACAAATAATTCTACAAAGAGAGTGAGTGCAGGTGTGCAGAAGTATGTTATTCTAGGTTCTCGAGGAAAGGGGAGATAATTTGGGATACGAATGTACTTCTGATTCGAGTGTATTTGCGGAATTAGGAGTCGGATGTTTTCTCTTTCTGTAGTCATTTGAAGCCACGAATTTGAAGCGAACATCGAAGGTTTTTGTAAATCGCCTTTACTTTGGCTGAAATACACATGATCTAGATTTCCTTTTAGTAGTATATATGGCTTCTGTCGAACGAAACAAATATAATGTTGGTTTCAAAGTTTTTTAATTTGCTAAAGAAAATAGAAGTCGTGTTTCAGCAAGGATGTTTGGTATTGGTGAACGCCATACGTGACTGGAAGAGAAATGATGTCACAACAATTAATATGGCAAAGAATGAATGGGCTTTGCAGAAAGAAATAACGAAATGGCTCATCCTTAGAAGAAAGAGTGCGGGTCCCAGAAAATCGCCAGTAATAGCATTTAAGTACCATGACGGAATCACATTTTTGTATGCTTATTTTTTCCTTATTTTTAAGGCTATAATTTTTATCTCCGGCTTATACCGCACATCCGTGAATTTCAATCTTATTTTTTGTATTAAAAGTGAGCGTTATACACCGGAATATAAGGTATTTCATTTCATTACTAGGCTGCTAGACGGATCACCCTTAGAGCCCAGCGACAGGATCCAGATGCATCAGAATCCAGATGGTACAGTATCTCTAGAGATCAAAGAAGTCAAACCTGAGGATGCTGGCAAATACACACTGTTGGTGTCGAATCTGGGAGGTGAAACGAGGAGCTCTGCCAACGTTGATGTCATTCGTAAGTTTATTACCATTTTACGACACAAATCATAACATTTTCAGGCTAATTTTGCGAAATAAACATACAGGATGATAATTTAGAAGACAAACAACAAAATCAACGTTATATTTTCAAATTTTCACAGGACTAGTTTCGATGGTTTTACCGAACCATCATCCTTAGCTGCTAAAGCGAAAATGAACGAGATAAGGTACAGCGATCAGATAAGATAAGAAAGACTGGACAGAAGTTAAGCTACTGGCGCCATCTGTTGATGAAACGAGAACTAAAACATAGTTGATCCAAAAGTTGTGCAGTCAGATTTTCAGAAACTGTGGAAACTCAAAAATGGGTATTTATGAAAAGTTATTTCAAAGAAGGGCATTAGTATAGTGTTACAAGTAAAATTTCTGTTGCAATTCACACTGTTACTTTTTAAAACCGTTTGTTTGGTACAAGCTAGAGATGAGATTTTCTCAATCTTCGCAATGCGTTATTACGAAAAGTAGTCGAAACGCTTAAGAGACCTTCCAAATGTTCATGAATCTAACACGACAACGAGTTTCTGCTAAGCAGTCTAATTTTGAGAAACCAGAAACGGCGCTCATATTTTCCGAGTTCAAGCAAAATGAACGAAGTCAGGAATAAAATACTGCAGTTATCAAAGAAAAGGTTGAAAAAATTTTTGCATTGCAATAAGATTTATCATATGGAGAAATAAATTGTTTCTTATAGTGAACATTCTCATTTTCGCGAAAACGGATTACCAGTAGGAAAATCGTTATCTGATTAGATTCACGAGAATTTTGGGAGGTCTCTTTAAGCACATCAACAGCTTTTGCGGAAGAATGCGTTGCGAAGTAATGCTCAATAATAAAAATTCTTTCTAATCTTAAAGGCAACAAATGAAATTTCAAGTTATATGAAATGAAGCAGTATAGTTACAAGTGTACCACATTAATGGGATGTACCCTTACAAGTGCAGCGTATTCATTTTTGAATTTCCACAATTTTTGAAATTTTGAAATGCGCGACATTTGGGTGACTTTGTACCGTCATGTAAGGTCACATAAACATGGCACATAAATGTTTGCATCCTCCCCCCTTCTTCTTCTTTTAAATTCCCTTCATAATTTGAGATCATATTAGTTACGGTTAGACCTGTTTGTTGTATGCATTGCTTATTTTAATGGAAGTCAGTTTTCATATCATTTTATCCCTTTATTCAAATAATTTTAGCCTTTACACACACACGCATATATTTATCTATCTCTCTATATAGGTGAATGAGAAATTGAATAGCATCTAATTAATCAAAGCTATCAATATCGCACAAAATGCTGTGAAACTAATTAAGAAAGAGGGAAATGTATTTAATATCAACCAAATTTGGCAAGTTTTTCAACAGAAAAAATGCTCATTACCAAATATTTTTTTAATTACTCTTAAGTATACATTAATAATGCTTTTAATGTTAATTTTCGGATAATTATTTCCTCAAATAAAAGAATTAAACTTCTAAGTTTGTTTCATTTTATTTTATTGTGGCACAACACGCGAGGGTTATTTGCATAATGATAGAGATGCCTTTGTGAAGGAGTTTCTAAGGAAAAATTGTTCGCATTCACCTTACACATCAAGAAAACTACGAAAATGCCCCTTTCGAACCCAGGTTGAACTACCAGTGTTTAAAGACTTTAAATGACACTCACACTTAACTTATCAACATAAATGCTGTCTCATAGAATTATCTATAAGTAAATTGATGAGGATTCGAATTTATGTCTATGTCTATGTAAGGTAAGCTTGAAATAAAAAATTAAAACAACACCAAAATTTGCTCCGGGTTCTGGGAAAATGAACAAATATCAATGATTTAAAGTATTTACAATTTACAAAGGGGAGACTATTATTAAGTATTATAAATTTTTATTGAGGGAAAGATATTTTTATTTTCATATTTTGCGGGCTGAGTGATACTTACAGCTTATTATTTTTTCAGAGGCACCGTTGTTTGTTAAGTTACTGGAGCCTGTTACTGGAGTTACAGACTGCCCAGCGAAGCTTGAATGCAAAGTTTCAGGAGATCCACGTCCTGATATCAAATGGTAAGCTTTTGAGTTCCTGAATTTTATATCTTCTGTAATGAGATGGAATTCCGTTGACTTCAAAAGCATTGTTTTTAAGAATGTCTGTAGAAACTAATCGATCCAAGATATGGGCTGTAAAAATAGATAATCCATAAGATATCAAATGGTAAGATGTTATCAAATGGTAAATAAATAAACCATAAGATATAAAACGGTAAGCTTTTGTGTTCCTGAATTTTATATCTTCGATAATGAGATGGAATTCTGTTCACTTCAACAGCATTGTTTTAAAAAATGTCTGTTAAAACTGATCGATCCAAAATATGGCCTGTAAAAGTAGATAAGCATAAAAAAATCATGTCCTTGGGTCCATTTTGGACGAAGCAGAAATTCCAAAGAAAGGTCGACAACACTTTAAAAGCGTAGGAGACAATTTAGCTGAAACTTAACGCTAAATATAAACTTTTTAGACTGCAAGACCACTAAGTAATTACAACTATATAAACAGCTAGGATTACCTTAAAGTAAGGTAAGCTTGAAATAAAGAATTAAAGCAACACCAAAATTTGCTCCGGGTTCTGGGAAATTGAACAAATATCATTGATTTAAAGTATTTACAATTTACAAAGGGGATCGTGTTGGATGGGGTCATGAATGAGTCTTTTATCGCGTAACAATAATTTATTTTATTGATCAAGTTACACGCGGACATAACATATAATTTTAAGATTTTACGGAGCAAGAGTCTGATGCAGAGGGATCATGTTGGATGGGGGTCATGAATGAGTGTTTTATCGTGTAACAATAATTTATTTTATTGATTAAGTTACACGCGGATATAACATATAGTTTTAAGATTGTGCGGAGCAAGAGTCTGATGCAACCTAACAAGTTCATAACCTGTTCTCTACTGAGATCTTTCTCTGGTTAACATTCTTAAGATTCAAACTTCTTGAACTTCATCTGAAAGGTTTGAGATTTTAGTGGTCACATAAAAGACTTTGTTAAGGTTTTTAACGCTCTCGCTGAGTTCGCAGTCTACCTTTGTGCTCTTGTATTCGCTCCTGCTAACATAATTTTGTCTTTTTAGCTTTATATTTTTGAGCATCGTTTTCTTCGTACTTACGCCACATACAGTTCAACAACAAAATCATAAAATTTCAAAAAGCAATATAACAGCATATATTTAAAATTCCTTGTGCGGTATTAAGTATTGACGTAATATTTTTTAAAATTTATTTCAGGCTTTTCTTAGTTCATCATATCAATGCTCAGTTTTCTTAGTAAGATGGCGTAGAAAATGTTTTTTATCTTTCTATTATTAACTATCTTTTTTGTTACCTTTATCTGTTTAATGTCACGTTATTAGCACATAAAATTCAATTCATCGGTGAAATCACAAAATATTTAATAACTGCATATCATTAGAATTCATTTCATACTTAAAAACAGCAATTTCCGATATACAGTCTCGCTCGCTGGGGGTAAAATTATTTTATTCCGTACAGTGTTGCCACTGTTCCCTTTCAAAGTGTTGAATTTGTTAATAAAAAATTCATTCAAGTTTTATAAAATAGATCGCCCAGTAGCGATGTGGCTAGCGCGTCGCGCAGCTGCATCACAGGTCCGGGGTTCAAAATCCGAGTTGTTCAAGCTTGACTCAGCTTTTCATCCCTTGAGAGGGTCGATAAAATGAGTATTAAGTTGGCTTGGGGACTAAACACCGGGGTCCTGCGACAAGCTGCCCACTTGTCCGGGTCATATGCTGAAGCACTCCGGGGCCCAAGGTCAAGAAAGCAGATTTCGGAGCACTGCAGGCCGTGGCCCACTTCGGCTGTTGCGCCACTGTGTTTAGTTTATAAAATATGAAATATAAAATTCGAAATTCTCATGTCGGTCTTTCAGGTGCACATGTTCGGGTGGAGGACTACGTTATTCAACATTTGTTATGCGATGTGATAGTGGATTAACTGGCACAAAACCTTAAATATTATTAACACCGAAAACATCATATTCAAAATTTTTTCACATTGCGAGGAACCTTCATACTTATTTTATTGCCCGCAAAGGGGGTGGTGGCACTATTTTGTCTGTTTTCGACATTGGCCATTCCTAAGGCCGAAAGTGGTGGCCATTTTATTGTGGAGGCAACTAATAAGCGGCCGCCGTTACCTCTTATGAAGGGATGTACGGTCACAGCCATGTCTTTTCCGGGATTGGAATCCGGGCCCTTCGGTATCGTAGTCGGCTCCGCTAACTGATATACCATCTGGGCGCCCCATTCACATATACATGCGTGCAGATTCTTCATGATTTAATTTCTTTAAAAATAATACAGGGCTATAATACTTGGTGGAAACAATTTGAAACGTGATAGAGGCATTTACAGTGAATAACGCAAAGTCCCGTTTCGAAAATAACAGCACATTTGGGCTATTGTCCTTTGGGGTCATAGTTTGTTAAAATTAAAACATTTTAAGTTCTGAAAGATTTCGATGTGTTTGGCTATTCGAACTACAAATTCTTTTAATGTCAGGCACAATGTTGCAAAACTGGATTCTTATATAAAATTTCCGTTTACCTTTTTGGATTTTGCTGCAACTTAACGGGAAAAACTCTCTGATAGAAGCAGACTGTTGTGAAAGGAAACAAAATATGAGCAGCTCGTTTTCATAATTTCGGATATTCTTCTGAAACACTTGACCGAAACTTATTTAAATTCTGCATATGTTTTCTTGGCAACATGAGTCATCTCATGTCGTTACTACGGTATATAATTTTTAACGCGCTTGATTTAAACCACCTTGCTTTATACTTTTTCTCTTTAAACCTCTTTTTAACAGTCGTTTTTAATTCTGTTAAATACATAAAAACAGACAGTGTTTCGCTGTTTTCTAACCTAAGTTTTTAGAGGAACACTAAGTGATTGTTTACGAAACATCAGCATTCCACAGTTTGGGAACAACTGACCTGATCAAATTCACGTTAGTGTTACAATGCCGTTCTTATAATAAACATTTCACTTTTCTTGCCAGGTTAAAAAATGGCGTGGAAGTTCCAGACGATGATATGAACGTACAAAAGCATCATCTGCCTAGTGGTGAAGTGTCCCTAGTTTTTGACAAATGCAAGCCAGAGAACGCAGGGAATTACGTTTGCACAGCACGAAACAAGCACGGCGAAAAGTCTTGCGGAGCTCCTCTCCAAGTCATAAGTAAACCTTTTTTTTTTTTTATTTTCAGAAATTTGAAGCTATTTAAACGGATAAAATTTCAAATAATGGATGAGTTTGGAAATTTGAAGTACTATAAACTAATCTCCAAATTGTTCCGATTTACAATTGTTTGATTTGATCGAGCATGTGAATTTGCCGAAACGTTCGCACTGAGTTTTACGTATGTTGGAATCTGATACGTTCTGTAAACAGATGTAAATATATGTATGTCAAAAAATCATTATATATAATTGTATAAATTATACATAATGATTACATGTCATAATAATGTAAAATACAATCATTATGTAATAATTGTACAAAAAAATCATTAAAACTCATCAGCGAATGATGAGAGCATTCAATCCCTTAGTGCAATCGAATTTCAAAATTATTGTTCAAAAATTCACCACTATACGTTTTCAATTAGATCACATTTTTTGTTGTTATTACATTCATTGCGATCAATTTTCAATGTGATCACATTCTCCTGCTTTCAAAATGCTAAAAAGAAAATTAAACATTTTGACGTGCCAAAACTTATCTTATGCTTTATTTTTATTATAACGAGCTGTAAAAATACGATGTAAATCTACCTCAGAGTAATTTTATCCTATTTTTTCAAACATGAAATATTAAAGCTTATAGCAGTGGTGCCCAACATTTGGCCTCTCGCGAGCACATTTTGAAGCACATTTCCAAAACATCAAAATTTTTGTTAAACATATTTCCAATATTATGTGATACATCTGAAATATTAATTTCGGCAAATGGGTTTGAGGTAAATAATAATATTGATTGAACTTAATGGAAATCAGAGAAGCGGAGGTCAAAATTACTTTTCAATGCATTTAGGTTTTCCGAGTCTTTCTCTGTTTCAATTGCCTTGTGGTTATTAATAATGGCTTGATAAATTCTGAAAATAAGTGAAATTTTTTCTTTCATCTGATTTATCCACAAATTTAACTTTACCTGAAAAGCAGTTACAGTCTCAGTCAATTGAAAAAGTGTTTTTCTCTTTTCTCTGGAGATCTTCGTTCAGTTTAGCTGTTATAACCGTCAGAAAATACACATCGGATAACCAATTATTGTAGTCGAATTTTTTATAACTTTCGTTTCCGGATTTCAAAAACTGCTTTATTGGCGAAAGAAGTTCTCCAAATTGTTGAAATACTTTTCCCCTGATGAGCCATCTAGCATCGGAATGAAACAATAAGATTCCATGTTCGCTATCAAGTTCATCACATGCACTCTCATATACTGATTTTGAAATCTATACAGACGGATCTAAAATAGAGGACAATGTTGGTTCTGCTTTTGCAACGAATCTTTAATTCACCAATGGAAGAGACAGCTTCATAGAAACAATAGCGTATTCCAAGCCGAAGCAACAGCAATAAAATATGCAATTAATTATATTCAGGAACATCATTATATATACTGTCAGATTTGATAACAGTATATATATATCATATATAATACTGTTATCAAATCTGACAGCCTTTCCACACTTTATGCACTCAAAGATCCGAAAACTACCTCTCCAATTATTGCAGCAATACAAAATGATTTACAAAATAATGCTTCACTTAACACAACCCTTACATGGATAAAAGGTCATTCTGGTATACATGGAAACGAAACTGCAGATCAATTAGCTAAAGAGGCTGCTATAGATCGAAATGCAATTCCTGCAGATATTCCATTGCCTATATCACACTTGAAAAATATTCTCAAATCAACAGCAATTTTAAAATGGCAGAATGAGTGGAACAATAGTGATACTGTTAGAACTTTCCTACATTTTACAAATGTTGATGTACAACGGCTCATCACAAACCCTCAATTAGTCCGTTATGTCTCAGGCCACGGACCATTTCCAACCTATTTTGAAAGATTTGGTATTTCACACACCAGTATATGTAGTTGCGGTCAAACAGGAACACCTGAACACTATATCACGAACTGTCCATTAACCAAAGATTTTCATATAAACATGCCTTCTACAAATATTGAAGCGTTTAAAAAATTCTTATTTAAACAAAAATATATAGTACAAAAAGTCACGAAAACAATGCAAATACTAGGAAGACTAGGAACAGACCTATGTCAAGTTATATAATTTATTCAAATGCTAAAAAATAAGTATCATTTAAAGGATTCTGCTTTCAAAATTACCTCTAAATATACATATGAAACGTATGTAATAAATCGTGATATTAAGATATGTCAAATAAAAATAATAATAATAAATAAATTTATTTATTCAGGGAAATACCATACATTCATAATGGCATTGAATTTTAAAATATGCATTTACTATACAGAAAAAGAAATTTATAAAGAAGTAATACGATTTAAGGTTAAAAGTAAATCTAAAGCGCAGATCTTTCAACTGTTCCCTTAAAGAATATGGAAGGCTACCTATGAAAATGAAGCATTTAATTCTTACAGGAAGATTCTACAAAGAAGAAAGAGAAATTTATTTAACTTTTATAAAGAAGAAGTTAAAAGGTAAAAGGACAAGTAATTTATGAAGAAGGAATGTTTTTCTTAAGAAACAAGAACTAACAAGAATGTTTTTCTTTACTGTCCAATAAAGGAAGAAGGGGAAGGCTCTACATGATTCAGCCATAGAAAGGAATAAGAAAAGGAACTAATGTCACATTACAATTAGAATAAATGTACCTTTGTATTTGCTAACCAGTAAAATCTACTGTCTATTTACTAGTTAAGATATTTTTCATTAAATAAGAATGTTTCATTAAAAGAAGAAGGGGAAAATTTTACAGGAAGATGTTTTATTAAAAAAATAGAGAATAAGATATCAAGTTATATATGAAGATACCACGAGGACGAGAAGAAAAGGGAAGAAGAAATAATTCATAATGATGGATTTCATATTTGTCCTATATATGAAGAATGAAGGGAACATAACGGAAGTTACTTGAAGAGAAGAAGAAGCTACTGAGTAGAAGAAGTTTAAGGAATTGAGATATAAATGAAGAAACTCCATAGTATAAGGATAACTAAAGATTTAGGATATAAGGAGTAGTATTCAAGATGATATAGCTAATGAAGGACTACTTAATCGTTTATGGAAAGGCAGAAGGAGGAGGCTTCAAAGGGAAAAGATTTTAAAGGGAAAAGGCTATAAAATTACAAATAAAGGTTTCAGACAAATGAAAAGAAAAGGCGGTTTTAAAGGAAGAAATTTAAATGGAAAGGTATAAAATTACATATAAAGGTTTTAAAAGAAAAAGGAAATTTTTCTGTTAGAAGATGGAAGAATATGTTAACAAGTAATTCATAAAGATGGATTTCTTATTCACTATATTAAGTAAAAAGAAAAAGGATATATAGGAAGAAAATACACGTAAAATGGAGGAAAGAAATTAAGATAGAAGAAAGGAAGATTTAACGAAGATTAAATGAAAGGAAGATTAAAGGAAAGAGAGGAACGAAGAAAAGAAGAAGAACGAAAGATAACTTCTTGAAGAAGAACGAGGGAATAAGTTTCAAACTTTTTTACTAAGGACAAATTTCGATATTTTATAAAGAATTACTTACAAAGATACATTTCATGAAGGACTATAAAGTACTACTTTAAGATTTTTATTTTTATTTTTTTATATGGCACTATATGGCACACTATATGGCAATGAAAAAACATTTGATTTATTAATAAATACTAGATAAGGGCGGACGTGGGCAGAACCGATTAACCCTAATGGTAGAGGGATGGCGCCCACGTCCTCCGTTACTACTACTACTACTACTACTACTACTACTATCAAGTTCATCAGTCAGCAATTAATTATTTTATAACGTCTTGCAAGGTATCTCTTATCACTATAAATGCTTACCATATTTTAACAATTAAGAAATATCAATGAATGGTTATTTTTAAAATATTATTTGTTCATAATACCTAATTGGGCTGGCGAGCACATACAAAACGATCGGCGAGCACGAGGTTGGGCACCGCTGGCTTATAGACTCTTACCCTCTTTGGCAACATAAATTGACGTAAGCGAATTATTGCTATGTCTTGGAAATTGCAACAGACACTTGGGAAAGAACGGAAAAGACCATTTTATTAAAATCAGTAATTAAAGAGAAGGCACTGTCGTGTTTACAGGCACAGCCAGTATTTATGGCGTAAAGTAAAGATTTAACTTTAGAAGGTATTTTCTCTCTCCTTTCTGCATGCCTTCGTGGTGTAATGGTAGCCCACTCGGCGCGTATTCGAGAGGTCCAGACTCGAGTCCCGGCGGCATATAGGCATTCTGTACCGCGCCACGCGCATAGGGAAAATTCCGTTCTTGTGATTGGACATATTTTCAAATGACATCATTTTCTCTTGGCGTAATGACGTTTAGACGGGGTTCTTACGGTTTTGTTTTCGTTGAATAACGCAGTGAGTGACAAGGAAGCGTGAAAATTATCGTTTGTTTTCTTTGAAACGAAAACATTTAGCTGCAGCGTTCTGCAAGTGGCTTCCTGTTTCATGGAATAATAAAATTATAAAATCTTTCAAAGAAGCTGTTAATATCAGAAGCAATCTTAAGAGCTTAGATTATTTAAATAGCTGTATGAACTCAGTGCAAAAACCGAAGCACGACGATCTCGATCCAACTGTAAAGGCATTGTGTGCTAGTAAGTGTATTATTATTATTGCAATTTTGCTGTATTCTGTTTCACATTGCAGAAAATATTTCCTTTGCAAATATTATGTTATTTCCATGTTAATGTCCATGTCATTCTAATATATCTGTTGCCTTAAATGAAAGAAAATTCGGTATTGTCACTGAATTTAATACACGTGTATAAGAAAAGAAACTTCCTTTTTTGACAAATACTATTTTTACGCAAAGGTACAAAAAATATTACACGTTAAAAATGGGCAAAAATTCTGAAGTAATATTATTCAATTTAAAATACGTACTTCTGTTTCTGTGTTCCAAATATATAATATTCTGACTTCAAAAATAAATTTTGCTTTTTCAGATCGATTATAAATAGTGTGTACTTGTGCAATGTTAGCTTCCATCGTAGTATTTGCTATTTCCGAAAACTGACTTGCCCGATTCTTTCGCAGAATGAATTAGCAAAAAATGAATGTACACTCTTATACAAAAAACACTCTGATACAAAAAACAACAACAACAAAAACAAAAAAAAAAAAAAAAAAAAAAAGACGCTCCAAGAAGGAGTTATTCGAATGGGACGAAAATCGGTAGAAGTAATGTACCTGTACAGAAAAACAAATGATTACAGTTTGAGAAAAATTGGATGATTTATTGAAGTGATAGAGCTTTACAAAGTGAAAAAGTCAGTAACGCGTTTGTCCACCTCTGGCCCATATGCAAGCAGTTATTCGGCTTGGCATCAATTGATAGAGGTTGCGGATGTCCTTCTGAGGGGTATCGTGCCAAATTCTGTCCAACTGGCGCGTTAGATCGTCAACGTCCCGACCTGGTTGGAGGGCCTTGCCCATAATGCTCCAAATGTGCTCAATAGGAGAGAGATCCGGCGACCTTGCTAGCCAAGGTAATGTTCGGCAAGCACTAAAGCAAGCAGTAGAAACATGTGCAGTGTGGGGGCGGGCATTATCGTGTTGAAATGGAAGCCCAGGGTGGCGTGACGTAAAGGGCAACACAACGGGCCTTAGAACTTCGTTTACGTACCGCTGTGCTGTAAGGTTGCAACGGATGACCTTCAAAGCGGGACCCATCACTGAAGACTGTTCTACAACATTCAGTGACATTCCAGTGCGAATGAGCCCGACACCACTGCAAACGGGCTTGATGTTGTACAGAGGTCAACGGTAGTCGGCGCAAGGGGCTCCATGAGCTCAGTCCTCTTTCTGTGAGCCCTCTATGAATGGTCTTGAAACACTAGTTGCACGTACTATCGATGATAATGATGCATCTGGGGCTGTGAGTGCCGATCTGACGATTGCTCGGTCTTCACGTTCTGTCGTTTCTCTAGCCCTACCGCTTCCTTCTTGACGCTCAGTGCGGCCGTGGTTCACCCATTCCTGCTAACATCATCTAATGGTGATATCGCTCCTGCTCAAATGTCGAACTATTCGCCGATAAGATCAACCGGCTTATTTGAGATCAACTACACGAACTCTCTCAAATTCTGACATCTGCGCATATTGTTCGCGCACCTGTATGGGAGGCATAGTTACTTTCTTTCTTTCCACCGACAGCGAGGCAGCAGTGTACATGGAATGAAATTCGTGCAGAATTTATGACCTGGAATCGTAATTTCTCCTCTTAAATATCCTGCCAGTTGCGCTGATCAGATGCGCTGTAGCGACAACCATTCATTCAATGGTAGCCAAACTGTAAAATTTTGCATTTTCCGTCGAAACCTGTATGCATATCAATTTGTGTCCAATTTGCTTTATATCTTCTCGGTGCGTCGTGGTGCGTCTTTAACACCTTTAATCTGAAAGGTTTTTAAATTAAAAATGCATTTATTAAAATCTCTGCACTTAATATTAATACACATTTACGGAGTTAGCACATGAAGAAATAATACTTTTTCTCTCTAGGAAAAAAATCATTACATTTTTTATATTAAATTCCCCACACTACACTGTTGTAAGAAGTGTAATCTCACAGCAAAAATAAATAAATAAATAAATAAATACAAAATAAATAAAAAAAATACAATGCACTTAATAATCTTTTAGGTACTGCTATCAAAATGTAAACAAACGGTATGGAGGTCTACCCTCGAGCCCAAGAGCAAAGTCAAGGCGTTCCTAAGCGTAGAGGAAAATGTCATCGGAAGCCATATCCATTCACGAGAAGGGATTTTTTCCTATGTGCGTGGCGCGGTACAGAATGCTTATATGCTTCCCAGCGAGAGTATTGCTGATTTTTCACTTCTCTTGCTTCAAAAAAAACCTAATATCTCTACAACTTAATTAATCGTAATTTAAGTCGTAATTGAGCCCAAAGACAGGTACGTTGACTCAGACCTAACATCGGCGTGACGCGTCTAATGGCGAAAATAACGCAACTCCACGGATAAAGTGCTATCAAGAGATTCAACTAGTAATGTGGCCTTCAGCAGGCGGAATGCGCTCTGCTTCTACAGTCTTAAAACCTTCCTTTAAGGACTATATCAACTGAATAAGCGCGAACTAGAATTAAGCATTATGGCAGGTAAACGGAAAGCGAGGAAAGCAGGAAAGATAATTAACATAACTGGTTAGTAAAAATAAATAAATCCTTAAAAATTTATAAAATATTAATCCTGCAGCATTAAAGTGCTGTTAAATCGTTCATTTTTTTACTTCTTTGTACGAAGTAAAAAGGAAGTATTGTAATCGAAAAAATTTTCAGGCATCATATTTCAACGAAAATATCCATCTTGACCGCTATCGAATGCAATTTAACGATGTTTTTGCTTGACATCTGAACGTAAAGACAGAATAAGACTCTTTTTCCCCCAAAAAAATTATAAAACTAATTTAAAATTAATTCTGAAGAGAATTTTTGTGGCGTCTGTACGTACGTACGTATGTATCTCGCATAACTCAAAAACGAGTAGCCTCAGAAGGTTAAAATTTTGTATATAGGACTGCTATAACATGTAGATGTGCACCTTGTATTTTGGTTCCAATCGGCTTCACCAAGCGTATATCTGCGTATCTGTTAACCGGCTCAGTGATCTCAGTTTGTTTATTCTTATATGTTTGTAAGTTGTGCATTTTTTGCTTTAAAAATGATTGAATTATGTTGTTCTTATCTTCCGGTTAAGGTAAATATGCATGCAATATTTGTGGAGTTATCAATAATTTAAAAGTTGTTTAAGTGTAGCTAAGCCTACAATTTTTGCGATGGCGGACATGTTTGTTTACATTTTAAACTTTGCAAAATAGCGGATCTGTTGCCAATCTAGAGAAACTAAGCTTCGCAACAACAAAGATACCGCCTTCTTTTATTATTGCGAATTAAATCATGCTTAATCCTTTCTGGAATTTTTTTCGAGGAAAGAAGTGTTTAAGATTTACTTCGTAATTTTTAATATAGATATTTTGAGTTTTGCCTTGTCGGGAAGTGAGAACTGAATTAATTGAATGAGAAATACTGAATAGTCTGTGAAAAACTGCTTCTTTTTTGCTCTGTTTGCTCAATTTCTTTTATACCTCTTGTTATATTTATTATGGTATTTGAATAGAATACGTCGCAACGATTAGATAATTCTTGAAATGATATAAATTTATATGCATTCAGTTGTAATATGAACGGAATGTAACTGTTAAGTGAACCTAGCGTCAGAGTGTCGCTATGGTAAACAAATATAGCGAATTTTAAAGAGTGCATTTATTCTATTGTGGTTTATGCCCTATCGATGAAGTAGATTTAATTCAATCCAATAAAGTTTAAATGAAATGCAAGAAAAAATGCATGTAATTTAATATTCCGTACAAAGAAGTCATGTGGTGAACACATCAAATTTTTCTTTACTCAGGCAAAGACGTTGAAGGTCAGTCGAAATCTGCACCGTCTTTCGTAACTCCTCTGAGCGATCGAACGGTCCAAGAAGGTGGGAATTTCAAACTGGAAGCCACCGTGTCTGGCAATCCGCTGCCTGATATACATTGGTTCCTAGATGACCAACCCCTCTCTTGCTCTGACACCATTCTGCCAGCATTTGATGGAAAAAAGGTAAGACACTTTTATTTTCCTTCTTGTTTAACTCTCGTACTTAGAAGTTAGAAGAAGTTTTACGATTCATTATTAGTTTTAAAAGTGATTTCATTCTGACTTGTTCTTGAGTCAGTGTTTGTTGTAGTCTCATATTGAGTCGAAATGTACCTTTCAGGCTAGTCTTACAGTATACCGTTGTAATCCCCGACACGAAGGTACATACAAATGCAGGCTTAATAACCCTGCAGGAGAGGCAGTCTCCAAAGCGAAGGTGTCTGTCGAAGCATACGAGGCACCTAAATTCATCGAACGACTATCCGACATGCAGGTGAGATTGAAATTTTATATTTTTAATTAATTAGTTAATTAATGTTTGAAGTGTGATGCATAGCTTTTATAGCAGTCATCCAAATGAAACTTCACGGATTGGTAAGCACTGCAAGTTATTATTTATTTTATTTATTTTTATTTTTTGTTTTTATTTTTATTTTTACTTTTATAATTTATTTAACTTTATATATTTTTCATTCTTATTTAAGAATCTGCATAAATGTATGCGTGTTTCTCGCACTGTGATACAAGAACGGTGCCTAGAGTCATCCAAGTTTTAATGACGTAATCCTACCACGAATATGGGCATCTGGAAGCCCAAATTTGAAATTCGGAATTTGTCTTACTATCGATTTCATATTTTGTAAAACTTTAACGAATTTTTGATTAAGAAATTCAGCGATTTTAAAGCGAGCTATGGCAACACTGTACGAAAAAAGCATTTTTATCTCCAGCGCGCGAGACTGAGTATCGGAAATTCTGAAGTCTGAAAGACGGACAAAATTTAATAGCTTTTTTATAGCAATCAATTCTGGGAAATCGGACACTAGAGAACTTAGAAACTAAATAGTGTGGTTAAGATAAAAAAAAAATTATTAACTGTATGACAAGCTTTTGCAAGGAACTAGTTATATTCTATTTTGAGACCCTACATACCTAAGTGTCATTCTCAAGTTTTTAAGGTATAGAGTCTCACATGCTGTGGTAACATCAACTCTGAGATTTCTAAGACTCACGCGACTTGCTATGTCTTCGAATTAGGACAGAAACTAAGAAGGGTGTAAAGGACCCTTTTATTTAGCTCAGATAACGGTTATTAGAAGACACTGCTCGTGCTTACACAAACAGCGAGCATTTGTGGCGTAACTCAAAAAGTAGAGAATTGAAATAAAACTAAGTTAATCGTAAGTTAGCCGAAAAGGCTACAAAGACAAAATGCGCGAAAGTTGGTTAAAAAACCTAATATTGGCGGAACAACTCATGACGACAATAACACAACGCACCCCAGATAAAATGCTCTCAAGAGAATCAAGTAATAAATGTGGTCTTCAGCAGGTGGAACATTCTCTGACTATACCTTCTGAAACCTTCCTTTAAATACTATCTCTTTCTACCTCATTTGAACAAGCCGAATTAGAGATAAACATTCTGGCAGGAAAACGGAATGTGAGAAAGGTGGAAAATCTGAATTAATATAAAATAACTGTTTAGTGAAAATGCTGTTAAATAACTGTTTAGTTTGCTACAAAGCGATAAAATTTCTGTTATGAATATATTTTAATTTTTCATTTAGAAGAAATAGAATGCGTTTCATCATTGCATGAATTTTATTTTTTCCAGTTTGTAGCGAGTCAACCCATGAAGTTAACTTGCAGAGTGAAAGGTGTACCTGATCCAGAGGTTGAGTGGTACTTCAACCGTTCTAAAGTGGAAACAGGTATCAAATATTCGATCCTGAGGGAAGGAGATAAGTGCATCCTTACCCTTCCCCATCCTCGAACGAAAGATTCGGGAATATACGAATGCCGGGCGAGAAACATCGTTGGAAAGGACACATCCAGTGCAAACATTTCGATCTCGTAAGTCCTAATTTGGAATAAATTCAGCGCAACTCGTTTAGCATACATTTGTCATCAAGTATTTACATTAAACACATTCTTTAATTTTTTGATTCTGATAGAGATCGTTAAAGATTAATTTACAGATGTATACTAAACTTATTCTTTCTGCTTTAATAAATTATTTTTTCTTTCTTTTTCGGTAAATATTAAATTATTCTTTCCTTTTTTTTATGTATTTCCATTATCATTTCTTAATAGATATGAAGACGTGAAATGCCTTTCGAAACGCGAAAAAGTAGATCTTGTTATTAATTTTTTAACATTTAATTCTTCGATGTGTCAATGCTTGTTTGCGATGAGAAAACATTTTTTGTCTCTTACGATTTTAAGAATGAAGCTGTTATTCAATGTTTTTATGGATGAATTGTAAAGTTGAACATAAATAAAAGCTCGGCGCCTAGGGGACTTCTAGCCTGACGACACACATCTAGGTGACTAAATTATTTTACTTAAGTATTGGTGGAGATAAATTAGTGACTATTTACAAATGAAAGAAAAGTGTTGACTTGAGAGGATACATCGTCGTCGTCTATCATTACGTCTTAGTCTAAAACACGACTGCTATCCTTCTTTTCCATCGTCCATCTCACTGCGATACAGTTAGTCGTGTTGAGTAGTTTCACTCCTGCTATTCATATAAATTTAATTTTCATGACATTTTCTTAGAAATAAAATTAAGCTTAACATTTCTTAGCCAGTCGTTACTTGCTTTAAAGGATGAACAATGAAGCTTCTAAGCTAAGACCTTAGCTTTTTCACAATGAATTGGACCCGAAATTGGGTTTCCATAGAACGTTGTTGCAAAAACTACTTGAAAACGATATCTTCTAAATTTTTGTTTGTTGCTGCCTTTGTTAGTTTTCTTGTAGAACGGCCATCTTTGTTTTCAAGCGGTGACACGAAGTTTAAAAGTGTAGGTGTGCTCCTTTTAATATCTGAAATCGTTTATTTCCAACACTACGTTTCCATCTTAATTTTTTCTTAAATTCTGAAAGCGATTCGGATAATTGGAGTTGTACTGTATTCGTGCAAATTGTAGGATTACTTCTTTGTACAGATTTCGGATAGGAGGGAATTTTTACGGGTTTCAAAGACGACGAGTACTTATGAAAATTGTAGGATTACTTCTCGTGCAGATTTCGGATAGGTTGGAAATTTGTGGAGAAAAATTACTTCTTTGTGCATCAATCTACACATTTTCCCATCGTATCCGAAATCGGATACGATGGAAATATGCGCAGATTGTAGGATTACTTTTCCTTTGCAAATCGTCGAATACGGTAGGAATTAACGGCGGCGATTCTTACATTAGGTAAACGGAACAATAAGAAGAAAATCTTTTAGCGTATGGCCAATGGCAAATTAAATTTTTGAATTGCTTTGATAAAAATTCTTCCTTTGTAAATCGGTTGAACTTTCACAATGAGAATTGCCCACTGACTTGGAATAATAAACGGCAGTTCGTCTACGTGTCCTTTTATTTTCTAAGAATTATTGAGCGAACTGTCTTTTGTGTCCCGCTGCGTGGCGGGAGGATGCTAGAAAAATGAGTCTTTGTCAGGCAATGATATAGCAATCATTTTAGTTGCATCATTTCACTTTTTCCCCTTTGTTTCTAATTGGTTTTCAAAAAGGTACACAGCGGGAAAAAAAAAAAAAAAAAAAAAAAAAAGAGCAGTTGAATATCTCCCGTTCTACTGGGCCGATTGACGAAATTCAAACTGCGTTTTCCATGTCTCGAAACCGCGACTTAGAATATATATATTAGATTTATATATAATAATTGTTCTAATATAGGTATTTTGACACAAAATCGAACTTTTTCTGAAATGACATGCCAAGGTTTTTTCATCTTTCGATGCTACGACTCAAATTATGCCAAACTGCCGAATTTTATAAAAATCGCACGAGTACTTTTTAGAAAATTAGCTAAAAATTTTAGCTCCTCAGTGTTAATTGAATTTAATATATATTTATTAATATCTCCTTTTTTTTTATTAAACTTACTTGATTACTTCTTGCGGGATTCGAAATCTACATTCTACATTTTTATGATCTATTTTTAAATAATTTTTATAAATTTTTCGAAACACATTTTGAACTGCAACTTATAAAAGTTTTACCATCATCTTAAAGTAGATGTATTTCTAAGCATACCTGCAAAAAATTAGTTTTTTACTCAAACTTTCCTAGGATATACGTATTGGCGCGTTTTGAAATTTGGTATATTTGTTATAAGCGATAATAACACCCAGTATGGTTTACACACTTTGTTAAAATTATTTGAAATAAGGAACTTTGACTTTTTTCCGGCTCGTTTATAATAAAAAAAAAAAGGAAAGGAAAATAGATTGCCATAAATTAAGAAGTTCGCCAAGTGAATTATTCTTGGCACAACGTGAAAAAAAGTGCGCCAAATTAAATTTTTGAATTTCTCCATAAATTTCCCATCAAATTGTACAAAATTTAATATTTAGGCACAATTTGAGTCGTAGAATCGATATATAGAAAAACTTTCGCATGTCATTTTAGAAAAAGTCCGATTTTGTGTCAAAATACCTACATTAAAATAATGCTATATATAAATCTAATACATATCCTAAGTAGCGCTTTCGAGACGTGGAAAATGCGTCCCAGCAGAACGGGAGATATAAAAGTGTCGCCTTTTTTTTTTTTTTTCTTGCTCACTGTACATCTCTACCACTGTCAGATGATATGACATATAATTGCGCCAAATGTCAAAACTTCATATATTTATAACTAGGAAACAAGACAAAACTTAGATATATACGAAAATTTAGTAATATTTCTTCTACAGTATTTTTAACACATCTGTTCTTCCAGTGGAGCCGATGCTGAAGGTGACCCAGCCATGTTCTTGAAGAAGTTGAAGGATACTAGTGTCTTGAATGGTATGACAACAAAACTCACCGCTTGCATATGTGGTTCTCCGAAACCAGAAGTTAAATGGTAAGATGCAACATTCATTAAATTTTTGTAATTACATGCGTACTAAATTCAGTGTCGCATAAATCAATTTTATAATCCCGAACTTATAGTGAAAAATCAGAATTATGTTCTAAAATCGCACAAAGCTGGTCTAGCAGTGGCTTGTAGAAGAATCGCTGAATGTTATCAATTTCGACTCAAATTCCTGTTTCTTGTTAACCTGTCTGACTGATAAGAGTTTTATTCTTTCCTTGAGTATAATGTAAATATAAGTTAGCTTTCCTCAGAAACTTCTCTACGAAAAAGATTATTTCTCTATACAGTTGTGTATTAGTAATTATTATAACTATGGAATATATTAAAAGCAGCCTTACCATGCAAAATACTAATAATTGAAATGCGTAATACTAAAATACATCTAGTAAAACATACGAATTTAGACATCTGGAACTAAAACAAGCAGCAAAAAAATGCCTAAAGTGAAAGGGAAGGGCAGACGCGTCGGAACAAGCATAAAGTTATGAGATGCAGTTCCGATAAATGGGGTTTTGGGCGAAACGCTAACTAAACCCAGTGGATGTGAGCCACATTATCAGTGAAAAACAAAAGAAATTGAACTTATCAAACGTACGAGGAAAGAATATAAAAATTATCTTGAGAAATTATCTTACTATGAGAGATGGGAATTATTATGATGGATTCATCAGAGTTGCCACCGATAAAATGAAAAAGAGAATGATTATTGGGAGAGATGGTGAATCCCCGACGGCGTCTATTGAGAACAATTACAAACAAATTATCAAAGCTATTTTATATCTTAATTATTTTAATAAAGAAGAAATTATTATGGAGCGGGATGAAGAGGAGGAAGACTTTGTTTATAATGAAATTTTTGACTACGATGAAAAATATCCGGATAAGGTCTACTCTTGGGCTGGATGGGATCGGAGCCACGTTGTCGAAGACATTGTTTGAAGCTTCTCTTTCCTTTTCCATAGTGTTATATAATAGATGCTTGAAGTTGGGGATATTTCCAGATGTATGGAAATTTGGAAAATTAATCTTGATTTCAAAAGTAAAGGAGAATTTCGCCCAGCTTGCCTATAGATAACATTTGCAAAGTTTTATGTTAAACTTTTAGTTAATAGATTGCAATATATTTTAAATAAGAATAATATTATTTCTGAAAAACAATTTGGTTTTAGAAAGGGAAGGTCAACCGAATTGGCTGTTTATAGAGTCATATCTGGCACTAGAGTAAAAAGAAAGACTAAGCATGTGGCTCTGGTTTCATTTGACGCCAGGGGTGCCGACGATGTATGGTGGCTCTCCCTGATGCAACATTTGAAGAATGTTTGGAATTACTAAGAATATGTATGAAATTATAAAAAGTTACTTTAAAGGCGAAAGATGGTTTTTAAGGGTCCATCTCATAATCTGTACAAAGCATGCCCCCAAGGCTCTTACATTACTTCTCTGTTCTGGGGCCTCATTGTTAATGACTTAAGTACAGAAAGTCAATATTTCGAACTGTGAGATTGTCTTTTATGCCGACGATATATTGGTTATGGTGGAGGGAGACTTCCTTAAAAAATGGAGAAAGTATTTAAAGATGTAGAAAATGATTTGAAAGAATGGAGTGACAGAGAGGAAATGTATTTTAATAATGAAAAAACCTTGTCGACATTTTCCCTCGAGGTGGAAGAAAGACTAGGCCCCACAATTAAAATTTAAGGGTAATCTTATCAAATTTAATGAAAATATGAAATATCTAGAAATTATTATTGATAGCAAATTAAATTTTGCGAAACATTTTAAGCATATACGTTTTAATATGTTATAAGTATAATTTTAGTGCTGATACTTTGAATAGAAAAAGTTCCATCCTGATAGAGATATTTAGGAATGTGGTCATCCCTAAAATATTATATGGAATCGGAGCTTGGGGCTGCTGAGCAGAGGCGGTACTTAAGATTAGATTGAAATAGGCTGCGTGCTTGCCATTACATGAGTCTTCAGAACCGTTTCAACTGAAGTTGCCTGCGTCCTTGCGGGTGTTCCGCCCTTCTCGATTTTATACAAATTGTACTACAAAAAGTTTCTATTAGCTAATAAAATTATTATAGACACTGACATTGGACAAAACGTATTCACGAGTAAGGCCTTTCAACAAGAGAATGAGGATATTATTCACCCAATGACACGATTTGGATTATTTTATGATCTTGATTTTCCTTCTGGTGGCGAAGTAGACGTTTTTTAACCAGATGGTTCTAGAATTGATGGGGAGTGGGTAGAGCTGTAATAATTTATTTTCATGGAGTGGAGATAAACAATGTGAGAAAACCTTAAACCAATGAATTCGGTTTATCAAGCAGAACTATACGCATTGGTAGAGGCTTTGAACTGGTTTAATAAAAAATTAACAGCTCAATATTTCAAAATACTTATACTGATGCTCTATTTCCGCGCTTCAGGCATACGCCTGACCAGATCATGAAAATCGACTGATTCATGAAATAAAAAACTTATTTAAAAAGGTTGAAAGAAAACATATTGTTAAATTACACTGGGTGAAAGCACACAGTGGAATTGTCCGAAATGAAAGGCCGGACACCCTTGCTAAAATGATGGCACTTGGGGATGGGACCGATAATTCTGATATCCAAGATTCAAGAATAAACACCATTGCTGAAATGGAAAACTGGATTTATACAGAATGGAATTTTTGCTGGGAGTCGTGTAATAAATCTAAAATATAATGTTAAACAAGAAGATGAATATAATAAATATACATATTGATATAAATCAGATACTGACTAATCATGGACGTTTCCCGGCTTATTTCAATCGGTTCCATCTACGGAATAATTATAAATGCTTAATATGGATAAGTTTGGGGACGCCAGGCACTTCGTCGTCGATAAACGTACGTTTACCCGGAGTGCAAGAGAGTAATATAGAAAGAATTTTAAGAAAGTTTTTAAAAGGAACTATTCGAATTTTAAAGGTTTTGCGGAGACAATAATGAAGACTATAAATACAAACAACGATAGAATTGGAATTTGCCTCTGAGACTTAGAATTTGGACTTATATATGTTTTTTCTTATATTTTCTTTTCTTTTTGGTTTGTTTGTTTTCTGGCTAGTCTCATGTTTTGATCTTGTGCCGGTTAGGATGATCGGGGCTGAGCCCTTGTATTGGTAATAATGATGATACTAACAGTTCTATTTTTACTTGTCTTTTGTGATTTCACTCTTCTTCTGTGACTTCTTCTGCAATTAATAGTTGAACACATTTTCGAAGACGATGTTTTTAAACTGCTAAATTTTTGAATCGCTTTATATGCGACCACGATGTTTTAGAACTGTAATGTTTCCCTTTGCTTCCTTTTCTCCCACGATGTTTTGCTCCACGACGTTTTCGCCTTGCGTTGTTTTCTCCGCAATATTTTCGGCGGACACCGTTAAGGTCAGGCGATTTTGCTGGCCAATCCATGTTGCGAATATTCTCATTTTCCAGGTAATCGTTGAGCAGCTGGCAAATGACATCTATTAGCAGGATTTCAGGACCAACTGCGTCCTTCAAAAGTCTAACAAAGGGCTTCAGGATCTTTTCTCTGCACTATATAGCAGTCCAGGAGCCTTTGCCAAACACATGCAAGAATTTACAGCCAGCCAACATAATGCCTGAACAAACCATTACACCTCCACCACTGAAATGAGCACTTTGCCTGAAAGGTTGAGCTAGGATCCTGTTCCAAGCTCTCATGAGATATAGGTACGTCGAGAATCAGCGACCAGTCCAACTGTCGACTCGTCTGCAAGAAGATGCTTCCCTGAAATACTTAAATATCGTGAAGGAATTATGAGCACACAAATCATCGAAACCCCTTGTGTACTTATAGTCCCTCCACAATCACAGCTCTACAGACGCGCACGTGTACGGGAGTTGCACACGAGTATATTTAACCTCCAAGTAAGCCAGCGGCCGAGAGGTAAAGTTGCTGAACACTGGTACTTCGACCTGGGTCCAATCCCAAGCGAAAGGTTGGAATGCATAAGCGTTTTTGTGGTTTTTTCTATATATAACATGGCAGTTTTCCTTTAAAAGCCTTCCACAAAGGCATACTGTTATTAAGCTGTGAGCACTCGCAGGCTTTTATATAACGGAATAAAAAAAATCAAACCGGAATACTAGAAAAGTAGCTTTAAAATCAGCTTGTAGAATAGTTCACATTTCTGCATTTATTGGTTCTTATGAAAATTTTAGCATTAATTGAAAGATTTAGTATTAAACTAAATATCTTACGTTTTTGAAAATTCTTCTAGCTTCCAATGAATTCTCATCTGAACTTCAAATTTATATATTAACGTATATTTATTTAATTATTAATGAATACATATAAATATAGATTTATATTTTTTGCTTCTGAAGTTAAAGTACTCTTTAATCTTTATAGGTTTAAAGACGGTAATCAATTAACAGCCGATTCGCGCCTGACTATGGAAGCGGATCGGAACGGTGTCATCAGACTCATCATCAACGGAGCCCAAAAGTCTGACGTTGGCACTTACAGAGTTTCCATAGCAAACAAATACGGTAGCGACACCTGTACGGCTACTTTGAGTGTAGATGGTATGTCAACATGTGTTTTATCAGTCTCTGTTGTTAAATAGTGAAGAATCTATAGCTTCTTCATTATTTAATATGCATGTATGTATATATATATATATTCCGGCATTTCAGAGCCGGAATTTTGAATTTCGCAGTTTTATCGCCTAGTGTGAAGTAAAGGATGTATTGTAATCGCGTAAAAATTCGGCTATCATATTTTAACGGAAATATATATTTTACCTGCTTTCAAATCCATCTGAACGATGTTTTTTCCTGACTTCTGTACATACGGACAGAATTAATGAGCCCTTTTTTTCCGAAACGGATTGTAAAATGGATTCAAAAAGGTAACTCAAAAAGGAACTGTATATGGGACTGGTATAATACTCTGTTACCCGACTTGGTATGCTTAGTACTTTTATTCTTATACTAGGAAGCCCGGCGGTCATACGAAATAACCGCTGTTCTAGATATTATAAATTGTAATTAAAATGATTTCTGCAAATGTGTCTGCTAGTTTAAACTGAATTACCCAGGGCAGGCGGCGAGGATTCCCCTTTGCTTACTGTCCACAGGGTTTCCCCCTTCTACTTGCTTAATTGCTTAAAGTAGAGTACAATGAAGGAAACCACTGGCGGTACATTTCTTAAGAGCCCTCCGCTAGCTCAATCAATAAAGATGATTTAAATAATGATGTTAATTCACGTGTCAAAGATCTCTTTGTACACAACATTTCTTGTGTAGATCTTTCCATTATTTTTAAGCTCACCTTGCAGAGGACCAGCCAATATTTTTAATTTTACGTCCGTTCTTTCACGAACTCTTGAACAAGCAACATAAAGTTGACCGTGTCCAAATGCAGTCTGATGTAAAAAAAAAAAATGGGAACAAGCTTAAGCGTTTGGCCATAAGACATATTGATGGTCATAGCAAAGGCAAGTTTTACAGGAAATTGTCTACGTCTCAATTGAGACGGCAACCCTGTGCCGTGGCAACTTGTTACGAAAGCAACCAGTAAACTATCGGCGACAAACAGACACTTAAGCCGCATATATATATGGGGTGAAGTAATATCATCTCCTCCGAAACGGCTGGTTCCCGGGCTTAGCGAAGCCCGCCGTTGGATTCCGCAGGTCCATGGCACACCATTTTGACCCTTCGCGTCCTCTTGGGACTTTAATTAAACGAGATATTAATTAAAAACTAATTCTTCCCCACTTTTTCCTACATTTTCCACTTTCTTTCTTGGGATTTTCCTATTAGAGGGATTTGGCCAAGTGCCAAATCCTTTTTTCTCGAATATCTACGGAACGGCGCCGAGTTGAAATTCGAGACGCGAATCCTCGGACTCCAAAAAATTCTCCGAATCCATCGATACCGTTCTCAACTTCATACGACTTTAATCAGTTAATTAAAAACTGCAGAAACGTTAATTTCTGCGCTCATTTTTTGGAGTGGCAACAATAAACTATCGGCGACACAAACTTTAGCCGCTTATAGATATATATATATATAAAGATGTTGATAAATTGTGCATTTTTTTGCTTTAAAACGGATTGGATTATGTTGTTCTTATGTTCTGGTTAAGTTTTTTTATGTCTTTAATTAATTTTTAATCAAAGCTGTATTATTAACAATTTAAAAATGTCAGTGTCGCTAGTCCTAACCTGCGACTATTTTTTTACATTTGAAACTATTAGTAGAATAGTGAATGAAGTAAGTTGGTGCATCAATTTCAGTGTTTTTTGCACAGTTGGACCAAACGTTAAGTTTAGATTTTGTACACCAAATATTTGGGCTTCCTACCCGTTCGCCAAATTGGTTGTTTCTGCTTAGAAACTGTAATTTTAATTGTACAAAAAAAAAAAAAAAAAAAAAAAATTAACTGTTTTTAACTACATTTTGTGTTTCATGTTTTTCTGTATTTTACAATTTTTAGTGAAGTTTGATTTTTTGTGTATTTTTACTATATATCTATTATCTTTTAATATTTTTAATTAATTAATAATTTAAAATGTTTCCTTCTTAGAACGTTCTTTTTTATTTCCAGGTGAGGACAAACCTAAAGATGCAGCTAAAAAGGAAGTCCATAAACCAGCAGTCATACCAGGTAATTTGTTTCGATTTCTGATTTCCACGTGCATATATGCTCTTTCCTTTTACTTCTAGTTTTATATTAAAAATGTCTCTTTGCGCTGATTAATTTGTAATTTGGCAATATTTGCAAAGATGGTATTTCTTAAACATTTATACTAAACTAACGGAAGTACTCGATGCCAGTTAAGTTAGACTGAGAGTAATGTATCTAACAACAGAGAGAAAGATACCGCTGTAATTCTTCTCTAAAAGATGAAAAAAATGCGATTCATAGTCATACATTTTAAATGGTATATGGGACCCACATAAAAAATGGCAATAGAAAAATAAGCTAATTCTCTCTCATTATATCAGCAACAATTGCATTCATTTTTTAATGATTTCCGTTTTTCTGATCAGTTTGTCGTAAAAGCTCAAGTTCCATTCAATATTTCACTTATATTCAATTTAGTCAATTAAATGTGGTTAGTGACTCTGACTGCCGTGCCGAAGGGCCCGGATTCGAATCCAGAGAAGACATGGATGTTTGTAAATGTATAGTGTCTGTTCTGTATGGGGGCACTTTAAATATGCAGCGGACCGAAAGTCCTCTTGAGAGGTTGGTGATATGGTAAGAGACATGAGAGATACTACTCGAATACGTCCCTCGAAGTGTTTTCTTTCGAAATATGAACCGGGTTCTAGTGAATTTCCAGGCCGATTTAGTGCAATATGATTTTCCGACATGAAACTTCTGACAGATTTTTTACTTGTGGGATCGAGCAACGTCAGGTTGAAATGTTCCTGCAAAGGTTTTCGAGAATCGCACGGTCGTATGCTTTGAAATTTCTATATACTTCGGTAAATTCATCATTCCGTCCATAGGAACTAAATTTCCAATGCCATCTGCAGTGAAGAAACCCTAAAATATTTATCTTTGAGAGTGTTTTACGGTTTGTCGGACATATAGGTCTTAACTGATTTATCCATGCTTCGTCTAACAACGTTGGATGACAACAATATCTACTAAAAGAATCTCATCGCTGAAAATGACCTTCCTCCAATCATTTTTAGTCCAAGAAGTGTATTTTCTGGCCCATAATAATCGCTTTCCTTCATCTGAAGTGCCTAAAGTTTCGTTTTAACAGGCTTTCCCACCGTCCGACCAGCATCAGAAATCTGTATCTATTTGAAGGATGACTTTTGATCTAATACATTTGAAGGATGACTGCCCATACCAATAGACGAAAGATCTTTTGTGAAGTCTTTTCTAGTTTTTATTATTTTATTGGGTTAATAATGTCATTTCGGAGTAGGAATGGATCAGATTTAGGAGCTGTTTTTCTTCTCCTTCTATATTTGTCCTTTGTTTGTAGAGAAAATAATCCAGTTTCAGTTTGTCTCCTCAGAATTCAAGAAAACATGGATTTTACATCACCAATGGCGGAAGAAATTGGACTTACAGTCATGAATACATTTTCTAATGGCGGGCACTTGACTATGCCAGCATCGGCCACTCTTAAGGCTAGATAGGGTGGTCTCTTTATTAAGGATTAACCCTATAGGTGGACCACCATTGCCTCCTATGAAGGAACAGACAATTGCATCCCTGCCTTCTCCGGGATTCGAACCCCGGCCCTTCGGTATCATAGTCAAGTTCCCTTAACCATTATGGGCCGGCACAGTCATGAATATGCGACAGTTAAGTGAGATAATCTTTGCTCTTTTCATAGGTGTTATATCCATTTTTAGCACACTAAAATGAACGAATGCAAAACGTACTTGAAAAGTATGAAAAAGTAATTTCTCTTCTCACAGAAACAAGCTTTAAAATGGTGCAATAATCTTAACTAATTGTCTAAGAGAGTTCTATGTAGTCAAAAGCAGACATTCAGACAACATTAAGGCAGACAAAACCAGATGGCAACCAGTTTAAAATTCTGTGAAAAAATCCAAATTAATCTTTGTCCAAATTAATTTGCACATTGAAGCATACAGTGATATAATTCATGTGTATCTGATGTGTTTATTTTATGATTTTAGGACCACCATCACCGTTACCTCATGCTCCGTATATCTTCAAGATGAGCGACGACGGAATATCCCTTGGATGGAGGCCAGCTATTCCCCAGTATCATCAAGTTCCTAATACATATCGTTTGGAAATGTGCAAAATACCTGAAAAAGAATGGTCCAAGTACAAATCAGGTAAAGCTAGAATAATGACTCTACTAGAGTGATGTTTGAGGAAAACAAAATTTTGTCAATAAATATGAGCCTTATCGATTCCCGATACTGATTCGATATGATTACATATAACTAAACTAATTTCACTACAATGCAGAAAACAACTGCAATTATGTACACTCTGCGCACTAAAAAAATAGGACAGTTCTATGATTCCCCATTCTGAAATGGCATACAATTTTTTTATATCAATTCTGCGACTAAAATTATGCCAAAATGACAAGTGTTGTAAAAGTCGCACGCGTAGTTTTTAAAAAATTAACCCTCAAAACTCTAGCTCCTCGATGTTAATTGAATTTAACATATATTTAATAATATCTCCTTTTTGTATTAAAATTACTTTATTTCTTCTTTCCCATTTCGAAGTTTAATTTCAATCTAAACAAAATTCGCGGGTATCTTTCGATTTATCTGTAAAATTTTAAACTTTAGTTATTTTTATAAATATCTTTGAATTATAACATATAAAATTTTTATAATTCCCTTAAAAGGGATGTATTTCTTGGCACGTCTGCAAAATATTAAAGTTTTTTATTCTGAAGTTTCCAAGATACACGTGAATTTATATATTGACGGGTTTCGAAATTTGGCATATTTGTTACAAGCGATAATAGCGCGAAATGTAGTTTACGTACTTTTTTAAAATTATTTGAAAGAATGAGTGATATACCTTTTTTCTGCTCTTGCACAATGAAGGAGAAAGGAAAATAGGTTACCATAACTTAAGAATTTTGCTGAGTGAATTATTCTTGGCGCAAATTGTAAAAAACTATGATACATTATTTTTACATTACGCTTTAAGTTTCTCACCTTACAAAATTTAATATTTAGGCATAATTTGAGTGGTACAATTGAAATACGGAAAAAATCGTATGCCACTTCAGAAAAAAATCCGATTTTGTGTCGAAATATTTAAGTCAGAACAACGCTATATATAATTAAATATATGTCGTAAGTCGCGCTTTCGAGACATAAAAAACGGAAGTTAAATTAATGCGGTAGTTTCTCATTTCGTACCAATGTGAATTATTATCTTTGTTTTCAGGTATTAAAGATACATCTTGCGACATTCGGGATTTGGTTCCTGGTGCCGATTATATGTTCCGAGTAAGAGTGGAGAACAGATATGGAATAAGTGAGCCCTCCCCTTACGTCACTGCTCACCGAAGTCGCTTATACAGACCCTTGAGTCCAGCGGATTTTGCCCCAAAAGATTACGAACTGGAGCATCTGAAGTTTGCTAAGTATGGTAAGTTCTGTTTTCATTTACGTTCTTTTGAGCTATAGATATGTGAGATATAAGAAAATACGATAGCTGCTTTAAAAATAATTGACGACCCCAAAATTAATATTCTAGATTTGGTGATCTCCCCCCTAAATTTATCTGTTCTCCCAAATTCGAGATCCTTCTATGTTACATAATGCTTGATGCAGATACCTCTTGCCCAATCAAATAACTGTAAACGAAAACTTTTTCTAACTCGAACTGAAACTATTTGACTCTCTACCTTCTTCCTTTAAATTGCTGCGTTCTCCTTCCCTTACGCTTCAGTGCCGGCAAGACTCTGCTATTCCACGCTGCTGCTTATTTGCTTAAGATGACGACGTACTTTAAAATGGAACTCATTGTATTCAAGTATAATTAAGAAATATCTTGTCTGCAAAAGAATGATTTGATATGCGTAAAAAATAAAGATTGTTATTCTTAAAGTTCAGTTGCATCGTTATTAAAGGCCTTCCCCATAGTGAAAGACCGAGCAAAGCTAGAAGCCGAACTTCATAGTTTTTATCAACGTAATATTGAAGATTTGACGGATTTTATTCTGCAAAAGGTTAAGCTGACAAACATGCTGTATGGAAAGAAACCCGACACTAAGGTAACTGAAATAATTTTACCAAGATTGCTACCTGCTGTCCAAGATTACTTGGAAATCCGAAATCCAAGCACCTTGCAGGAACTCTTCGAGTTGGCGCTCAAGTTCCAAAACCGACGAAAAGCGGAAAAATCTAGAGGGGCATCGTATTCTCAAAGTTCCCAAAGACAATTCTCAAATCAACCGGCCGGTAACACAAATCGCTCTTATGGGGGAAAAGGCTATCAAGCCAACTCATCGAAGCACGAAGGTCAAGGTGCGAAGAATAAATTCGAAAAAAACCGTCCGCGTACCCAAAAGACTGAAGTTGAAAAGGAATCTTTAAACGATTAGCGGGGCCTGTAAAAGCGAGAGTCTAGACGCCTGAAGTTTCTCAAAATCCCTCAAGAAGGTACCTAAACACGGTCGTGGTAAAGAATTCACAGTCACCAGTCATCCAAGTCCTGGTCGGCGATGTACCGGTGGAAGCGCTCATTGATACAGGGGCAGAAGGCAACTTTATGAGTGATAAATTATTCAATAAGAATTTAAATAGGTTACGGTTATTTAAAAATAAAAACACAAAAATTATAGCCGCCCAAGGAAAAACCTGCCAATGTGTCGGGAAATTATCATTAAGAGTACAGATAAAAGACTGCCTTTGTTATCATTAAGAATTCAGATAAAAGGCTGCAGATAAAGCCTTAAAGTATTAATTTTTGTGGTGAAAAATTTACAGAATCCAGTCATTTTAGGCATGGAGTTCTTAAAGGCCGCGAAAGCCAAGCTCAATTTTCAGGATAATTCGATCGTGCTGGAAATGGATCGGAGGGTGGTGGAGCCGGTGAAAGAACCTCAGGTGGACTTAAGCCATTTGAGTGTCGAGGAAAGCCAAGCCATCCAGCAAGTGGTGAGTACTTTTTCAAACTTGTTTTCAGAACGGCCTGGTAACTGTCAAATTGTAACGCATCATACAACTAACTGCCGATAAACCCTGTAGGGCTAAACCCTACAGGTATGATCAACAGAAAGAACAAATTATTGAGGAACACATTAAAGAAATGCTGCAGAACCAGATAATAACGCCCATAAATAGTGAGTACGCGAGTCCAGTCGTACTATGTAGGAAAAAGAACGATTTCCCTCCTTCAGATAAAAGGGCTTGGAGGTTTGCTATCGATTACAGAAAACTCAATAGTATTACTAAATTCCCGGTTTACCCTTTGCCGGTGATTGAGGAAATTATTAGAAAGATTAAGTCTACGAGATATATGACTACGTTGGACTTAACATACGGCTACTATTAAATAGCTTTGAAACCAGAAGATATACATAATACTGCGTTTATCACAAAATCGGGCACTTATGCATTTTTACGCATGCCCTTTGGGTTGTGTGGGCCCCCGTCAACATTCCAGAGAGCTATGGACATTGTTCTAAAGCCTGTCCTAGGAAAAATCGACTTTAATTTATCTAGATGATATAATTATAACGAGTAGTACGTTGGAACAACATATTAAAGGACTTGGAAGAGGTTTTTAAATTATTAAAAGAGGCCGGTCTTACAATTAACGCATTGAAATGCAAGTTCGCAACAAAAGAACTTAAATATTTGGGATATAAAATTTCGCAAAAGGGTATAGAAACTCAGGATTCAAAAATAAAAGCCATCAAGAATTTCCCACCTCCCAATACTGCCAAGAAACTTTCTTCTTTACTTGGGTTATGTTCTTATTATCGGTCGTTCATAAAAGATTTCGCTAATATTGTTGAAATGTTGTTAGTAAGTAAAAGAAAAAATAGTAAGTTTACGTGGACAGCAGAAGCAAATACAGCTTTTGAAAAGTTAAAAGAAGCGCTTATCAATGTCCCTGTTTTGAAATTCCCGGAAGGGGACGAAAACCTGGAAATTGCAGCAGATGCGTCGGACTATGCCGTAGGTGCGGTTCTCATGCAAAAGGGCCATCCTTTGGCATTTTTAGTAAAACCTTAAATCTACACAAAGGAATTATACAGCTACAGAAGAGAGAAACATTAGCCGTATTAATGGCTGTACACAAATTTCGAGTTTATTTCGGCAAAGCGCCAGTAACAGTCTTTTCGGATCATGCGGCTGTTGGTAGACTTTACTCGGGGAAAAACCTAACGCCCAGGTTAATAAGATGGGCTTTAAAACTTCAAGAATATAACCTAATAATAAATATAAACCGGGTAAGGAAAACAATGTCGCTGACGCACTTTCTCGTATAAAACTGACGATGAGGGGAATGAACTCAAATGCGCTGTGTTGACTTCAAAAATTTTAGATTCTAGAGAAACAATTATTCCTGAATTGAAAGCTGATCCTGAATTTGGAAGTATCTATGCTTATTTGAAAGACCCCGAAATCTTTGAAACACACAGATGTCGACGCGCAATAAGAATAGAGCACAAAACTATGAAATAAGTAGATAATTTATTGTTTATACGAAAATCAACAAACGAAAACTTCGAGTATAAACCAGTCATCCCAGCCTCGCTTCGATTAAGCATTTTGAAAGAATTACACGACGCGAAAAACAGCGGGTCACTTAGGGGTCAGAAAGAAAACTATAAAAGGGTACGCGAGGCGGTATATTTCCCGCAATTATACAAAATAGTAACTGCGTATGTCAGGTTCTGCAATCAATGTCAGTTAATAAATGATATTAATTACAGCCCGGCCGGGTACTTAAATAGCATTCGCGCTACATTTCCGAATGAAATTTTAGGCATAGATCTTCCTTGGTCCCTTTCCCCAGAGTGAGTTAAATAAAAATCGTTTTCTTTTAGTAATTGTAGATCATTTTTCAAATGGACAGAAATTGTTCCACTTAAACGCGCGTCAGCCAAAACAGTCGCAGATGCATTCTTACACAGATACATTTTAAAATACGGTGCACCGATAAAAGTCATTAGCGATAACGGTAAACAATTCGTTAGCCAAAATATTTGAAAACATATGCACTGGACTTGGCATACGCCATATCAAAATGGTTCCGTATAGACCACAGGCAAACATAGCAGAAAGAGTTGAATAAAAATATTGTAAAAATAATTCGCAGTTATGTTAGCACACATCACAAGCGCTGGGATGGCTACATAAATGAGTTAGCTTATGCTTTAAGAACAGCAAATCATGATACTACTGGAAAAACTCCAGCAGAATTATTTTTAGGACGTAAGTTAATTACGCCACTAGATAAATTATTCTTTGTGCAACAAAGGGAATTAGAATTCAAACAAAAAGATATGCAGAAACTTATTGATCAGGCGGTTAAAAGCTCGGATACGGCAAGAAATAGACAGAAACTTTACTATAATCGAAAACGCCTGTGAAGCAGATTTTAAAGTATGGGATAAAGTGTTAAAGCGGAAATGTTCTTTATCAAATGTCCCAGACAATTTCATTGCAAAATTGGCTCCGAAGTTTGAAGGCCCCTATGTAATACAGGAAATCAAGGGAGTCGTATTGTACCTTAACCCGCGAGAACGCGCGTCGGGTCTCCCAGGCCCGGTCATTACAGAAACATAATACACAAATTTTTCTCTTTCGTGAAATTTTTTGACGTTCTCAGTAGCTTCGTTTATCAAGGTCATGTATGTGTCATGTTTTTATCAAGGTCATGTATGTGTCATTCACATTTCCGGAATTTATCCCTCACTCTTTTCTCAGAAACTGCGTAGCCGGGCTTTCCAGGCCCGAGGTGCGCGCTCGCATTGTCATTTAGAGTTGTGAAGGAGATTAGGCAATTACAAAAATGTAACGCTATTTGAGTTACGACGATGAAATGAAAAGATTACAGAAACTATTAGTTGAAATGTCGACTGATGAAGAAATAGTTGCCGAAGCCGAAAAAAAAAGAAGCCGAAGAAATAGTTGATGAAGAACAGTTTAGTGATCACCAATCGAATTCTGAAGAGGAATTAGACTCAAGCGATGGTCTAGTAATGAATCAAGTATTTCAGTGTCCGCGAATTGTTATTTTGGCAAAGATAAAGTCACAAAATGGAATAAAAAAGAACCAAGACTGGCTGTGAGAACTCGTGCTCACAACATCGTGACAAAATTGCCCGGAAATGTTGGTGAAGCAAAGTTTGTGTCTTCCCCTATGAATTCTTGGCAACTGCTTATGGATGAAATAAGAGTAAAAATTCTACGAACATCCATTTCCAGATGCTCGAAATTACAGAAATCAGATCATTTATCTGTCTTCTTTGTTTTGGAGGATTTAAAATAAAGGCTTCTCACGTAAATGTTGCGAAGTTTGGGCGACTGACGGGACAGGGCTTGACATTTTTCATCGAACAGTGTCTCATAAACGTTTTTTAATCCTAATGAGATGTTTGGGATTTGATGACCTAAGAGATCGTCCTT